TCCCCCTGCCCCCCCCCCCCCCCCCCCCCCCGCTCCATTCCCGCCATCATGGTGGTGCCCCTGTCTGTAACACTCTTGGAGCACTCTGGTTGTTTCAGTAACCAATCAGAGTGCTCCAAGAGCATTGGGGGCAGACAGCCAGACAGATGAAGCCCGTTATTGTGTTAGAGTGTGGGTAGGGGACGGCAGGAAGCGAAGAAGAAGAATGTGGTAGTAGCTTACATACGGCCAAGCCTGTTCTGGGGCCAGCACTGACTCTGAGCAGTGCCTGGCAAGTTTTGATGTTTATTGGTTTCCATTTCCAGGTGGCTGAAGGAAGGTGGGTTGGGGTCATCTTCAGGATTTAGCAAGCCTTAAGGTGAGGTAGATGGAATGGGCCACCTGCTGCCTCCCTTTGTTATCTCACTGTCAGAGTGGGAGATTTGGGAGGTGAGACTAGGCAGCAAAACTCATTGCTTAGGGGTGAGGCACAGACAGATTAGCCTGGCTTGAGATGTGAAACGTGGCCTTCTCTAAAAGCAGGCCATCAAAACGCTTGCTAACAGTGCTTGGGCCAGACTGTTAACAGTACCAGATCTCCCCTGTCACTCGCTTAGTCCCTCTATGATTTTGCTCACTCCCTGTAATATGGAGATAATAGCAAGTCTTTAGCGTGTCCCACCGTGAATATGCTAAAGATTGTGAGGCACCCCGATCCTGTGGCGATGAGACGCTGTGTAAGTACAGTAGGTAGAGATGATGTTTGGCACGTTCTGATTCTGGGCTTGTTTCAGTATTGGCTGTCGTATTACCTACAGTAGTCATGAGGGCACCCTGAAGTATGGGTCCTGACTGTGGTCTCCTGTGTAGATGGAACAAATGGTCTCAGGCAGGCTCTTTCCTTCAACCCCTTTTTTACACTGGGGATTGATAGAGCAGCTGTGGCAGATGTGGGGCATGGCTGGCTGAAGAGAACCACTGACTTTTCAGGCCCTTTATTCTACTATAGAGGAAAATACGGACCTCTTATGCTCAAGGATTGATTTGTGCGTACAGAACTAAGTGTTCGAAGATGGGGTCAGGGAAGCAATGGGGCCAGGCTCCAAGCCTTGGAGCGGTTACAAATGAGATCTCTACCCAATAGCAGTATCTGTCAGAAACGTTTCTCAATCAGTGATTTGTAACCCATCATTTTCTTCAGGCAAACAACTAAAGGCTCTGCATTTCCATCTTGCTGGGCTGTGTTTGAGAAGGAGAAAGGCCCAGGGTGAATAAGTATAGATGTCTCTCAGCCATTAGTCCTCAATGCAGTGCATGTGTGAGAGTGGCAAATGTGATCCTAGCAAGCAAAGCATTAGTGTCTTTGTGCAAGGAATGGGGGTGACCCCATCTGGAATATTTTGTGTGGTTGGGGTCACTCAGGTTCAAGGAAGATTAACTCAGATTGAAACAGGTGAGGAATGGGGAGGCTGTCTTGCGAGTGGAGACTAGAAGAGCTTGGCTTGTTTTGCCTTGCAGGATAGAGGTTGACAGTGGGCCTGACTTGTCCAGAAATATATTGAGGAAGTAGATGCCAAGAAGTGAACTGGAAGGGAAGAACAATGTTGTCACAAGAATAAATCTGTGTAAAATGGCCATGAATAAATTCAGACAGGAAGTTTTAAGAAGGAGGTTTCTAACCCTCTGTGCACTGAAGTTCTGGAATAGCCTTTTAATATGAGCAATGGGAACAATAGAAGCTTAACTAGTTTCAAGATGAATGATACTTGATACATATATGAGAGGGATCATATGATGTTGCCCAGAATAACAGCAAATCCTGGGACGTCATTCTCACCTTGTACTTGGCTTTGGTGAGGCCACAGCTGGAGTACTGCATTCAGTTTTGAGCTCCACAATTCAAAAAGGATGTGGAGAAGCTTGAGAGAGTCCAGAGAAGAGCCACGCACATGATCAGAGGTCAGGAGAACAGACCTTAAGATGACAGGCTGAGAGCCATGGGGCTCTTTACCCTGGAAAAGCGCAGGCTCAGGGGTGATCTGATGGCCATCTATAAGTTTATCAGGGGTGACCACCAGTATCTGGGGGAACGTTTGTTCACCAGAGCGCCCCAAGGGATGACGAGGTCGAATGGTCATGAACTACTGCAAGACCGTTTCAGGCTGGACATAAGGAAGAATTTCTTTACTGTCCGAGCCCCCAAGGTCTGGAACAGCCTGCCATCGGAGGTGATTCAAGCACCTACATTGAACACCTTCAAGAGCAAATTGGATGCTTATCTTGCTGGGATCCTATGACCCCAGCTGACTTCCTGCCCTTTGGGCAGGGGGCTGGACTCGATCTTCTGAGATCCCTTCCGGCCCCAATGTCTGTGAAATCTGTGAAATCGGACTGCCTCCATCCCTTCCTGTCCTATGTCCCTGTCATCCTATACTCTCTATAGAAAGTTGTAGGGAGGGCCTCAGTCAAAATTATATTCTCAGGTCAGTGGTGCCACTCTTTCATCCAATTCCACCTAGAAGGGACCTACAGAGGTCACCTAGTCCAGTCCCCTGCCTGAGGCAAGATCCCTATCCAAACCATCCTATACAAATCCATAATGTAAACTCTTTGTTAAACCACTGCCAACCCTGGCACAACAAGACCTAACACCCTAACCTGCCACAGGTAAATTAGGGGAACCATGGCAGCCAACATCCTGCTTCTAGAAAAGGTTGTTAATATATGCTCAGGAAATCCCAAGTAAAGGGCCATGCCCCCTGCTATGGAGGAAGGCAAAAACCCCACAGTTCGTACCAGGTTGCTGCACTGGAAAAGCAGTAGATGCTATAGTCCCATATTAAATGCAGGATAAACTCCTTTATTGGGAGTCCTACCCCTTCTTGATCATTGTTTCACTCAGGTCCCAGAACTGACTGAGTTCCTTTGCCTTGACTCTTGCTCTTGACTTTTTTAACTTCTTTTCGTTGTTTCTTTCTTGACTGTGCAGAGAAGAAGCGTTATCGGGAATCCTATATCAGTGACACTCTGGAAATGGACCTTGACCCATCAGATAAGCATTCCCGTGGCAGTGGCAGTAGCGGGGGCAGTGGGAGGAACAATCGCCTGTCTCGCCAGTCCACAGGGAGCCATGGCAGCTCACACACATCAGGCATCGAGGCCGACTCAAGGCACCGGATATCGGTAGAAATGTCAGTGGATGAGCCCTTCAGCATCGATAGGGTACATCGAAAGGAAAAATCATGTAGCTCAACCATCAGCTATGGCAGCTCTGGCATTGACAGCGGAAGCAAAGGGAGAGCTGAAGATGACTCTCAAGATGGTGGTGAGGAGTAGAGAACTTTAGTCAGTAGCAGCCTTCTTTTGCAGCAGAACAAGGAAGTAATGAAATTTTAAAATGGCTTGGAAGGGCAGAAAGATGATATTAACAGCTCTCTCATCTCTTGCAGAGGTGGAACTGGCAGTGGACGAGCCAGAGGAGATGCCCGTTGATGCTCCTTTAGAGAGAAACCAGATGCGGGAGGAAAAGGAAAGTCATCCTCTGGCTCTAGACACTGCTAGTTGCCCAGGTGAGGGAGTCTTCTCTATTCACTTGGTGATTCTCTTAAGGTTTCATGAAGTGTTTCTCAAGGTTGGCAAGTGCAGCATAATCCAAATGAGAAGCTTAAGCAGCAGGGGGGGAGGTGTAAGAGACAAAATTTGAAATCAGGTTATATGGAGGTGTAAGATGGTAGACCCTGTTGCACTATTGTCTTCCCTGCTGGCCTGCTTTTTTTCCCCTTCTTCAGCTTATCCCAGAATGTAATTGGGCTTTATTCAAGTGACAGCACAGAGAGAGATTCTTGAAAACTTTTTAAAACTTTGGTAACCAAAGAATTTAACTTGCCATATATCATTTACTGCAGAAAAAGCAGTCACTAAGCTAGATGCAGCAGTGGCTGGGTGAGGTTCTGTGGTCTATAGTATTCAGGAAGTCCAAAGTAAATGATTCTAGTGGTCCTCTCTGGCCCTAAAAGTTTTATCAGTCTGTGTCCTAAAAGCAGGTGAGATTGGAATGACTAGGAAACCAACCAATAGAAAGAAATATAGCCCTTATAATGCTGTCCTTCTAATTATGAACTTTGGAATCAATACTAAAGGTTAAAGATGCATGAATATTAGAGAGTAGAGCTCACTGACTTTTGAAGGTAACAGTCAAGTGAATTTCTGGTTTGGATGATGCAGAACTAGTTGGGCATAATTATTTAAGGAAGTGGTATTTTCCCACAAACCTGTGCAAATTTATAATGACCTGTGGTTTATAATAATGGTTTATTTCATTTTTCTGCTCTGCAGCCATTAATCAGAAGTCGCTCTCCATGGTACAAGTCACATTGATAAAAATGAGAGGTCAAAGTGTGGAATCCCTTCACCAGGTGAGAAGGAAAAACGGTCAGGTGGGTCAGTCCATACAATATTCTAATTTGCACTGCTTTAAATCAGATCACTAAGGTGATACTGGATTTACACAGGAATAATTGAGACCAGCTGTTAGCCACTGATTTCTACTAGAAGTTGAATGTGGAAGCAGCATTTGGATCCAGAAAGTTTTGAAGTAAGCAACACTGAAATCTTGCAAGCTGTCATTTTCTGGTTTTTATGCTGCTAAACAGCAGAGAACACGGGCTACTTCATGGTTTGGATTCCAACCTAAAGTCAAGAGCATACAATTGGATTTGGATCTGAGATGCAAACTCCATCTTTTCCAAACTCCTGAAGTTGCAAGAGATTCAAATCTTTGGGTCTGGTTTTGCTTCATCTCTAGTCACAACTGTTTCTTTGATTGTTGTGTGCTTTTAAAACAAACAAAAAAAATTATGTCTTTTTTTTTTCTTTTCCAACTTCTGTGAAAAGGAAACTATGCAGAGCAAAAAGGCACATACTGGCATATCTACACATGATGCTACATCACAGTAGCAGTATGTTATGGCCATGTAGCATTGGCAGGCACAAACCATGCCATCACAGCTACGTCACCATAGCAACATGCTCCTTCGATATAGTGCATTGCTACAGTGACATTGGGGCTAAAAATAACTGTGCGCTGCCGGTACAGCGCAGTGCAGGCTGTTACTGCACTGTCATTTAGTAGTTTCAAAAGTACCTTCCTTTCCAAAGGAAGTACTAAATGATGGCACAGTAATGACAGTGCTGTAGGAGCACGTGTAGATATACCTGCTGTATAGGAAGCAAGTCTGTGCTGCTCCATGAGAAATATCTTTTATTTACAGTCCTCTCAACTTTATTTTTCGAAGTGTGGCTGTAGTTGGAAGGAAAAAAACATGGAAGTGACTCTGCTACTGTGAGGTTCTCTGTTTATTACCTGTGTGACACCAGATCAAACGGACCAGCTAGAAAGAGGGCACCTGCTTCTCTCTCTTTTCCCTCTAATTTGCAGGGTCTGCAATTTACTTCTTGGCCTTTTTCCCCAAAATGACTCTTCTTTTTTTTTTCCCCTGGACATAGTGTCAACAGTGGGTTGTTTTTTTTTAAATCACCAATTGGAATTTTTTTAATATGTGAAAAGATTTTAAAATCCTACGACTGCATTGAATTTAAGTGGCTCAAACACATAGGGAGAAGATACCTTGAATAAGGGGGTCTTTTTAGAGTCAGACTTCCTTTTTACTATGCACATTTACAGTCCTTTCTACCATTAGTTAGCATGTTGCTCCAAATTCTGATACCTTATAAGTTTTTTATAAGAATATTTCTGTAACATTTTTCTCATAGCTACTTCTTTTAACCTATGGTTAACATGTGGTCAGATGACAAATTTGGTCATATAACATGAATGATCAGTATGCTACTTGCTTTGGAACTTATTTACATGGTGTGCAAATGAACAAGTGCATTATGGCTAGCCTTTCAGCAGAACTGTGCTGTGGATGGCTAACTGCTCCTATTTTGCCTTTGCAAGCAAACTTAAGCCAGAGGCCAAGTGCTTTTGAAATCTGTCATGTGTGCATTTTCATTTCACTTTCACTATGATCTCTCCTGCCACTGTGGGGAAGAGATCTAATGAACTGAAAAATTATTTCGACTTAATATTCCTAAAATTAATCCTAGAGTTAATTTCAGGAATAATCATATAAGACCCAGGACAGTAAAGATCAGCTGGTTGAGTTGGGCAGTGTCCCAGCTGATCAGTAATTCATCAATAAAGGCCAAGTTGCTTCTGCAAGACTAAACATGCCTCTAAAAATTACTATTGGTTTATTTCTCTTTTTTTCCATTTTTTCCTATAATCTGTTACTTGACTCTTCTTGGCACTTGTATAGAATTTAGGCACATTAGCCCATCACTTCTTTATTTCAGTGTGTTTTCTGAACCTTCCTTTTTATCTTTTATCACAAACCTGAGGAAGGATACATCAGTACTTGAAAGCTTGTCTAAATGTCCACCACCCAGGTAGTCAGTCCAATAAAAGATCCCACCCATGAACTCTGGCCTCATACTTCCTGGACTGTCACAGCTACACTGTCACTTCAGTGCTTTACCTTGTAACATTTTAATGTTCTAATACTTTTTCCTTCCTTTTATTTTATTTATTTATTTATTTTTAAATACGTTGCCAGTGGCTGGCCAGACCAGCTCTGCCAAAAAGTGTCTTTTCAGCCAGTCCTGTCAAATGCTTCATTCCTTGTAATCGGTACTGGGGATGCAGCACGCAGAGATCAGAAGCTGGAGGAAATAAAAGGGCAGCTGACTGAATTCAGTTTCCTAATGCCTCACAGCATCATTAAGATAATGTTTTTAGGAAAACTGATGGGGTTGGTTTGAGGGAACTTGGGACACTTTGAACAACTGATAAGCAGTAGTAGTCAGCATCCCTAAGCTATATGAGGGCTGTTCCTGAGCACATAATCATTTTCTCATGCGTGTCTTACTGACCTGGCAGGTGGGACAGCCCAAGGGAAGGAACTGCCCAGACCAGCACAGCCAGAGTTTGGATGATATCCGTCTTTATAAACATCAGCACCCACCAGTAAGCACCATGTTATCTTCAGACACGTCCCACAGCTACACATTTGGCTGTGCTCTGGAGGATAAGTTGGCCAGCTATGGTTGCGTTTACTCCACAACAGACTGCAAAACGAAGTCTGCCCTCTATGGCAAGAGATCCATGAACTGCCTGTCACTGGATCTTTTGGGAGAAGACCAGCTCCCAGAAGAGTTTGTGGTGTAGTCGGGTTTTGGGGAGCTGTTAAACCATGGGACAGTTTATCTTGGTAATGAAAGCTGTTATGTATACCTCACTAACACATGATGTAATCACTTTGGTTCTTGCAGGTGACCATAAACCACCTTGTTCCCCTGTCAAGTGATCTCTTAAGTAGTGTCATAACTCTACAAACCTGACTGAAGTGCAAATGAATTAGAGTAGCACTTTATTTTTTTAGCATATGCTGGGACTGAAATATCTGTCTTTTTACTCAGCACAAAACTAAAGTGGCCTGCACCATGAGCATTGATGCTACTTTTTTTTAAATACCAGAAGGCAGATGGATCTAAACACCTAATTTGTTTAATAAGTCATTTAATTACCTGTAGGACTGCTGATTCCACATGGATCTGAAAAAGAGACATTGTATTTCCTGGCGTTCCCTTGTATTTCATGCTGTTACCACTCGAGGCCAATGTTTTGGTCACTGAGTTCACTTTTTCCTGCAGGGTGCTGACTGCTGTCAGTTTTCTCCTACAGTACATCTCAGTCCCTCTGCAAGGGTGGTGGAAGTGCTGAAGGTCTGTGTTATGGAAGGTGCTGCTTTCTTGAAAATGAATGGAAGCTGTGCCTAACTCTAAGTGGAAGGTCAGCTGCCCTGGGTGTTTTCTTAGTTTTCTTCCCTTTAACTTAAAACCAAATGTATTGCTGTTTTAATTGCATTTCAGAGCAACATGCTAGGAACTATCAGTCCCTTAACATGACTACAGACCTGCTAGTGTTGATTCCTAAAACACATTACTCGTCCTTAAGTTGTTTAGGAAATGTTGAATCCAGTGCTTCCAAGAGTTTATTTTCCCAAAGAAATAACATAAGCATGCTAAGTGATGGCTCCTCAAGAAGGAAGTGTGACTAAAGAAGTTGTTCAGGCATGATCACCTCTGCTTGGATCATAAAGAATTCTATATGAATTCACTTTCTCATTTTGGGAGGCACACAGAGAGGAAGTAGATTTTTGGAGGGTGACTAAAGTAGTTTGTGGTAGTGTCCAGTAACAGTTTTGGTTAGGGCATTCATAAGGGGATGGAAGACTATCTAGGGTTCCTGATGTTGTGTTTATAGCTGATTCACTGTGCATGTATTTGGGGTGAATATAGAAGTGTGTCTGTTGGCTCTGAGAGGATTGTGCTATATGACACAAAAAAAAATAACTCCTATCCATGTCACAAGAGGGAGGCTGTCTGTCTTTATTTGGTTCTGTGTTATGTCTTCCCTTTTTTTACAACCAACAGCAGTTGGGAAAGAGGGCATGGGACAACCGCTGCCCCATCTGAGACAGGTTCTATTACTAATACAAGTTTCATAAGTCTACTTCTGAGACCACTGTTTAAAAAAACAAAAACAAAAAAACAAGGAAGCACAAAGAATGCGAAATGTCATCATAATGACTTAGGAACCTTTTGCATTGTACTGATCTGTTTGTATTAAAAAGATGAAACTATTAGAATTAGAAAGTTTTAAATTTTATAATTGATTTTTGTGTGTTGGAGCCAGGTCCCAGTAACTTTTAGTATGACTCTGAGAAAACAGTATTTCTATACCAATTTTAAACTGTTGCTACCATGCTTCAAGTGCTGTGTGTTTAGCTTCTCTGGCTCACAAAAACTGGTAAAACTTTTTTATTTCTTAAAAAAGTTGATAAATCTTGAATGTGTATCTGCTGCATGCTACTGGTGTGTGTGCGTACGTGTTTATGTGTGTATATATATCTTTATTTATTCATAGTGGTGAGTGATATAACTCCAAATTCTGGGTTGTTTTCTCTTGTTGGACTGTACAGTTCTCCTTAATATAGATGCAGGTTCACAGATGTATACAAAGGGAAGAAAAGACCTATTTTTTTTCCTACCTAGATGATGAGCAAGTCGACCTGTATCTTACAAACACTGTGAATATCTATTATGCAAGCTTTTGTATTCGTATGATATTACTGTTCTTACTAGTATTGTATTTTGTTTTTTAAATTTAGAAATTCTGCTTTATTAGTTCATTTTAAGATTAGTTGTGGTAGGGGTAAAATAAGCATTTATCTACTGATATTTTGTAACTAGCTGCTGTAGATTTTTTTTGGGGGGGGGAGGGGGTTGTACAGTTGTAATATACTCTTGGCATAATCACTCTATTTTAATGGCAAATGTTTCTCCTTTCCATGAAAGGAATTTTTGTATACAAATAAAATATATATGATTATATGGACAAACATAATAAAGGATGGCTAGAATAAGAGCTTGGCTGGTTTAGGGGGGTATGTGCACATAATGCTTTCTCTAGAGGTACTTGGGGTAAGGAGCTGCATTTAGTAGCTCATGACCATTTTCACAGTGTCTGTGTATGCACATGAGACACTCTCCCAAAGACGTACGGTGGGAGGATGTGTAGTTACCCTACCTAAGATGCCATATCTGAGGTCCCTACATTCCTTGCTCCCACATAGCAGCAGCAGCAGCAGCAGCAGCACCTGCCCACCCACCTGCCTGTTGCACCATGCTGCTCCACCTCCCCACCAGCCTTTGGCCCAGGACTTTTGACTAGCCAGCCAGGACTGGCCTACAGAATCTGGGACTGTCACAGCCAAACCGGCACATGTAGTCACCCTACGTCTGGGAGACGGTTTGTGTCCAAATAGTAATAGGTTTCTTTGCCTGCTACAGACCCATCTCATTTCTTCAATAACATCAGCAAAGTGGGCAGAACCAGCTGTGGGGGAGAGGGTGCATTCCAGCCTGACTGAGAGCAGCAGTGATTTCTCCACACCTCCAGTCTAGCAAAGCAATGGGGGAAAGAAATAATCACTATAATGAGGGAGCAAGTCTTTTGTGTCCTGATCTGCTGCTAGGAATTGCAGGGGTCGGCAATATTTTTGGGCAGTGCCCCAAAAATACCCACGACCTTGACTTGGATGATGGGGGATGGGGGGGGCCTGCAAGGGGCCCAGTCCTTGTTGTGGCAGCAAAGCCCCAGTCCCTTCCCCACCATCTGCCCTGAGGTGTGCATGCCAAGCAAAATGCCTTCACATGCAACACTGGCACCCGTGCTAGGGGTTGCCTACCCCTGAATTAGTGATAAGCAGTTGAACTAAAAGGTGCAGGGTGTTGCCACCTGAGGCATACAAGTGCTTATAACCTAAAAGGAGGCTAGCAAGAGCTCAAGATTGTTGCATTTTCATCAAAATGTAATTTGGACAAAACATGTATTTAAGCAAAAACAAAACTTACATCATGAAAAGCATTTTTTTGACCAAATGTGGAATTGGGGGTGGTGGGAAAAATGTTGTTTTTGAAAACCCTTCCCTTGCCAGCCCCCACCACTTATCGTCATTCCCTTCATCAGAAGAGAATTGTAAAAATGATTGGTGTGCTCTCAACCAACTCAGAATACAGGGGCGAGGTCTTTTAAAGCTCTTTAGGCAATGGGGGGAGAAGTCCCCAAGCCAGTAATTCTCAACCAGGGTGTCAGGGCAGTGTTTGCACTGTTAGATGTACAAACATGCTTCTCAAAATCCATAGATTTCAAATAGGATTTCATAGTTTAAAAACATTCTGACCTGGATTTTTTTTTAGTTCTTTCTAAACTGGTTAAACTGGTTAGGGGGGATCAGCAGGCGCTGGGGGAGTCCCTGTTCCCCCGAGCGCCGCAAGGAGTGACCAGGAACAATGGTCACAAGCTGGCGGAGGGAAGGTTTAAGTTGGACATCAGGAGGCGCTACTTCACGGTCAGGGCGGCTAGGGTCTGGAACCAGCTTCCAAGTGAGGTGGTGCAGGCTCCCACCCTGGGGGTTTTTAAGAGGAGGTTGGATGACCACCTTATTGGGGTCATTTGACCCCAGTGCTCTTCCTGCCATGGCAGGGGGTCGGACTAGATGATCTGCTCAGGTCCCTTCGACCCTAGAAACTATGAAACTACTATGAAACTATAAAGAATGTCTCTGTTTTTTTTTTATTCTATAGTCAAAAACTGAGTGAAAACTAAGAACTGACACTTTCCAAGGGATATCTTGCACCAAAAAAGATTGAAAACCACTGCCCTAGTGTTATGAGTCTTGAGAGAGAATGATTATGACCCTCACTGACCTGCTACTTGTTTCACTGTGCTATCAACTCAAAATCTCCTTTCTATCCTGCAGGGTTGTTGGTTGTAGCTGTGTTGGTCTAAAGCCATAGGCAGGCAAGGTTCTTTGGGTAGATGTGATAGCTTTTATTAGACTAACTAAATACGTAGTTGGAAAAAAGTTCTTTACAAGCTTTCAGGCGCAAACACCTGCCTGACTAAGGTGTCCAGGTTATAGCCATATTGGTCTAAAGGCAAAAGGAATCAAAACTTGTGGTAGAGGTGATATTGTGTATGAGACTAACTAGATTTTTGCAAAAACAATTCTTTAATTGCAAGCTTTCAGGCACAAGCACCCTTCTTCAGGCCTGACTAAGGGTGTTTGTGCCTACAAGCTTGCAAAGTAAGTTTTTTTCCAACTGTTTAGTTAGTCTACAAAAGGTATTGCATCTACCCAAAGAAGCTGGGCTGCCTTTCTAGGCTGGCACTTGAAACAAATGATTTTTCCCTCAAAAATATGCCCTTCTCAGTCTTTCTAAACGTGCTGTTAGGAATGACTGGCATTGTCCCTTCAAAGCACAAGAGGGCACTGGTGTAATTCTACAGCCACAAAAGCAGCTCCCAGTGGGAGATCTGTAATTCAGTCAGGTCCTTTATGCAGTCCTCACTGCAGTGAGCAGCTGTACAAGGATTGACAATGCGTTTAAAAAAAAAAAAGACAGACTCTTCAGGTATCTAGTTAAAGGTGAACACAGACAATCCAGTAAGAAATTGCAGGTTTGCCTGTTCCTAGGCTTGGGATGTGATCCCTTGAGTCTGTTTCAGCATTTTGGTCTGTTCCGGGTCTGGGGGCTGGCTGCTGTCTGTAGGATTTTCCCTTGCTTGTACTTGTAATTTTGCTCCCCCATCCTCCTCCCCGCCACCCTCCAGTTCCTCTACCTGCTTCACCTTTTGATGACAAATCTTAAACTTTGTTTTTACAATCCTTCTGTTATCTTGTCTGCACAATTCATCCTCTGGGTTTGGCCTGGGTTATGCTGAACAGTTGCATTTATTGATGCACTTGGAACAACAGGGCATAATCCCCAGTTATGGTAAGTACCAGGGTAAGTGGCTTCAGTTTTTTCAAAATAGGTCTTACTGGGAAAGGTGCCATAGTAATACTGCCCTACACAGCTCTTGCACACTACTTCTTTCAGTACTACTGGTGCTTTCTTGCTGAACTCAGTAGTCTTCACTGCTGCTCTTTTCTCTTTGCAGTCTAAATATATTGTCAGGATGCACTGAACCACAATAATATACATTCCATCGTATAGGTAGACTCCTATGAAAGTATGGGATCCACTAAATAAGTTGCTAAATAAGAAGGGATGGCCACGTAGATTTGTTTCACTCCTCGCCTGCTGGGATAAAGTGCCACGTATTGTTGTTTCTACTGATTCTGGACAAGAAAATAATAGAAAGCAAACTTGTCTCTAATGTAAACCATTTATGCTCGTGGCAGGCCTGCAACCAGGGGAAGTGCATGTGGTCAGACTAAAGTTCACTGTGTATATTTAGTGGAGGCAAAAGAACTGAGAGTTGACAGTGACCACTGACTGACCTGGAGTAAGTCGCCTGTTCCAAAATGGATGAGTCAGATCTTTTTTTCTAGCTAGGGTCTGAGGCAATATGGACACATGTCAACTGTGCCAAGACTGTGTGTGCTTGGTGTGATGCTGTGAACTACTACTTAGGACTCTCTGGGGACCACTGAACTTATTTATCTTGAGAGTCTAAGGCTGAATATGATTAGCAGTTTGAAAAAGCAGGGACTAAGAGGTGAAGCAGAAACTCTGGTGTACGTGTTAGCATATATCTTGGAGTATATGAGACAGCCATGCTAAAATCATTTCTAGTGGCACATGGCCTGAGGTAAGGATAGAGAGAGTGAGAACCACAAAGTCCCTACTTACAGATGAGCACTAAAGAAAGCAGCATGGACAAAAATGAAGATTTTTCTTTTCTTTTCTCTACTCAAAGCCTTTGTCCATAGCTTGATTCAGACTTTTCAAAGGTCCAGACAAGTTCTGTTGACCCTTTTTTGCGTGGCTGCTTTTAAACCCTTTGGCTGGATCCAGACATGCAGTGCCACAAACCACATGAGTTGCCCCCTAATCAGTACAAGGTGCTAATTTCAGCACTGGGGCAAAATTTGCTACTGGGATTTCCCAGTAGGGGAAAAAAAAATGACCCAAAAACCTGGGGGGGAAAGCAATGCAAACCACACCAAAATGGTGGATGGGGAGACAAATGCAGGGATGACAGAGGAGCAGGCTGCTTTCTCTCCCATCTCCACACGCTGTGGAGCGCCTGTCCTGAGCCACCCTGTGCCCCAGCCAGTGGCTCCCTGCATTTAAATTCAGCCACAAAGAAAAAAATCAACACGTTTGATGCCCTCTAAATGTCTGAGTCAGTCTCCCTAGCTGGCTGGGGTGCAGTGCATGCAGAGATGGGGAGCAAGCAGCCCTGCGCTGAGGCACATGGGTCCCCCATGTGAGGCACGCTGTGCCCCAGCCAGCCGCAGAGCAGCTACCTGGGGTGCCATGTGCCTTGAGACAGGGGAGCAGCCAACCTAGGGCTGCCTGCTTCCCTGTCTTGAGACACGCTGCACCTCAGCCGGGCAGGGAGCAGCTGGCTGGAGCCCAGGACTGACTGCTTCCCCACCTCCAAGTGCTGCTCCCCAGCTGGCCAAAGCACAGGATGCCTCAGCACAAGGGATGGCTAGCCCCTGCCGAGGCACCCTGTGCCCCAGCCAGCCCCCACCCCTGTACATGTAGCAGCAGGGAAGTGTGGCAGAGGTGTGTGCTGCAGCACAAGTTTGTGCCACTACTATTTGTGCAGCTGCAAAGGCACCCCCCCCTGCTCATGTGGACGTGGCCTTTGAGGTCCTTGAGCACTGCTACTCGAGCTACAGATGTCATCTAGCAACAGTGAACAGCGGTCTCTTTTTTTTTTTTAAGAGTGTTGTGTCTCAGCAAAGAATATGGCACCACTGTCTCTCCCATGATCAGTTTGGGCAGATATTAATTATTGCAACTATCTAAGCACATTGCACATTGCCTTTTCAAATCTGAGTGGTTTTGAGGGCAGAAAAGCTTTTCTGCTGAGAGTACATGCTGGGCTTAGAGCACTGAATA